TCTCTTTTGCCAATATTAAGTGTTTTTTGATAGTGAAGAAGAAATAGAGACAGCAAGAGCAAGGAAGGTCAGTAGCACATTTTTATTGGACCAAATTAATATGGAACAACCCCCCAAAAAAATATTAGCCTCAGAGGGCAGTTAGTTACTCGGCACTTCCATCCGTTTGCAGGATAAAAAGAAAGCATATGAGAAACAGAAAGAAACAGAGGTACAAGGGAGGTTGTGTTTGTTATTTGATAAAGCCTCCCTTATAACCTCAGCATGTTGTGCAGTAGCGCTGGCTCTCCTTCAACTCTGCGGCGTGCCACTTCAAATTAGTCGCTTGTGGAGAGGGTCTGCCCCATCTTTGCAAAATGCATTAGTACACCACTCAGAGCCTCATACAGCCTAGGGTTAAACACAAATTATATCATTTCTGTCATCCAATCAAATCAGAGCGACCTCTTGACCTGCGAGATGAGTCAAATGCATAATGAAATATGACATGACACAAAAGCTCTGATTCTAATCTGTTCTGACACGCGATCAGATGAGGATGACCTCCTGACCTTGACTGACAAGTGAGACGGGCACTTGGAACAGGATATATGAAGGAAGAAAAAGGGAAACTTAAAAGGAAAGGGGAGAAACACGTGCAATTAGAAAGGCTGGTTTGAGTCAGTGGTAGGTTAGTTAGTAATCAGCTCAGGGTCTGGGGTGAATAGGGCCATCTGCATCTTTTGACTTTAGACAGTTGGTGCTCACCTTAATTATTCTCTCCATATTTTCCTTTCTTCCCATTTGTTTCTCCGTGGGGTTTATGTCTTTGAAAGGGTTTATTTCCTCTCTCCTCACCCTCCTGTGCCACTCATTCACTGAACACATCCCAAGTACAGCATCTCAGTCCCCAGAGTTCCTGTTATGATTTCTGAACAGTAAAATACTGACAGATAAATAAAGCAGCTGGGCTGTTTTAGAGGGAGATGAGATGACAGAGGGATGGATAGGAAGGGGGCTGATCGGGGTCTAAGGAACGTGGAATAGGGCCAGAACTATTGGGGCTTCACAAGGGACATAGCTGAATGGGCAAGCCAAGAGAGGAAGAGGAAAGTGAAGGTGTAGGGTGGCTGTAACTGGATCTCTTGCCCATTTCCATTCCCACTCTTGTAAGATATAGTAGCAGAGGAACAGCTATGGCTTTAATTAAGCCTGAGTTGAAGGAAAGAGATGGATAGATTAAAGAAGACGCTAAGAGAAACAAGAAAGGGTATCAACAACAGCAAGCCAAGAGTTCACAGCTCTTAGATTATGTGTTTGAAAATAACTGATCTCTGTTGTCAGACAAGCATTATTTGCCTTTGCTGTTTAAAACAAGAGCTTTGTGTACACTAGTAAACAGGATCATTTTTGAATATACAGTATAAGCCTCCTTTTGCAAGAGCAGTGACAGAGGGAATAAAAAAAGTTGATGCTCTTAAATTCATCCCAAAGATAAATCCACTGTTTTCTTCATAAACCGGACTGCATGGAGTGAGAGATAACAAGGCCTGACTTGGCTTGCAGAGTGCTGCACGGTGAATTTTGGGAAGGTGTCAGAACGAAGAGTGCCAGAGGTGATGGAAGCGGTGATGTATGGGTATTTCAAGCATAAATCACTGCTTTGACAAAGCTCTTCAATAAGCAGATAAGTCCATATTAGCGGCGAGACAGATATGTCATCGTCTGTCACTGAGCTGTCGGTCCCACCCTCTTTGCGAAACAGACGTTGACTTGGGAGGACACCGGACTCTTTCGTCCATGTGGAACGCAAGGATCCGGTCTGAAAACACACTTACTGTGTCACTTGATGTCATGCTAGTGGAGATATTCCCAGTCTGTGGCCCACCTGTCAAAATAATGTTTGCGTCATGAAATTCCTTTGATTTCAAGACGAAGCTAAAAAAAAGCAAATATTGTGAATACAGCTGAAAATAATGTTTAATGTCATTATTATCTTGTCATTATGTGTCAGATTTAAAATGCTAAAAAAAAAAGAATATTTAGAGTTGTCACTGAAAGAGGACAATTAGTTAGTTATCAAAATAAACAGTAGTTTATTATCTGTCAGTTGCTGCTTAATAGCCTGATAATTTTATGCCAGAGCAACATTATGCCAGGAGGTCCAACATTATGCTATGTAATGTTGAAAAAGGTAAGTAGCTTTTAACCAAACATATGAATTGCAATTGACAGATGAGAATTTTAAAATGGATGTGCAATTTAATATTAAATGGGCAATGTCCCAAATCCTGATTTCTACAGGCATCATAACAATAATCTAATAAGTAGAAGAATATAGAGATAATGAGCCATTAGCCACAGTCAATATCATCTCCAGAAGGCCTTGAATACTCAGGCAGTGTTACAGAGGGAGGGAGAGATCTGTGCCAAATAAAAGACAAGCTGGAAAGCTCCCCAATCAATGTTATTTTCTCTCTCAGTCCCAGACCAACTGTCTATTCATCTGTTTCTTTCAAATGAAAGGTGTGCTGGTATGTAACACTTACAGTCGAGAGATCTGTCTCTTAATTAAAATGTTACAGATTGCATTCGCTCGCACTGAAGACAACATACTGTGTATTGGAAATAATGTTCCCTATAGTGTATCGCATTGATCAGATGAGGAAAATAAAGCATGGTGAAAAACAGAGTGTTGAAAATAGAATCTGCTGCTTTTTGAAGGAGAACAGCCCCGACTATTGAAAGTAAACCAATGATGAGTACCTCAGAGGAAAAAAGGGAAAAAAAACAGGGGCTGCATGTTTGAAAAGCTACTTCCATACCAGGACACATGCTGGTCTATACGATCCATCATATACATTGCCTTGGTTTGGATTTTACTTTCAAAGAAGAAAAGAGTATACATTAGCCACAGTGTACATGTGGCTCTGTACATGCAATCTCATTCTGAATAGAGGCATATGAATAATTTATCTTGCCACAATCCAACTGGGAATGTCCTTGGTATTTACATTTTATCATCAAGGGCACTGGATGAGCCTTCATAGCAATCCAACACATGACACATCTTCTGTCCTTGTCCCTCTGCACAATCAAAGGCAATAAATGTGACCAGAAAAGTGTTTCTGTAGCTTGGATGTAGATTAATTTACTGAGAAAACAAAAGATTGATAAACACGCTACATGATGACTAAGCATGGTGGTCTTTAGATTACATAGCGGTCTACTACAGTCAGAGTGAAGCACATAGTGGCTCAGAGGGACTCGCACAGGGACTCACTTCACACAATAGCTCCAATGTTTACAACAGACAATTTAGTTTCCTTCCAACAATTATGAGGGAAATTGAATCTCAGGAAATGTTCGTTTTCTTGTCCATTAGACCAAACAATAACACTATCCCCAAAGGTTTACAAAAACATCTGTCTTCAAAGGACAGTCCAGAAAATTAATATCAACTTGCTTGCAGGCTATGTCAGGACAAAGTAAATCAAATTGAGGCAATCGTTTACTAAATGTTACGCCAAATGAAAAGAAAGAGAGAAAAAAGAAAGAGGATGAATTCTAAGTGTGTCTCTATACTCTTGATTCAACAGTGAAAACCTCCTGTTTTTGCCATTACGCTTAAGATATGTGCTTTAGACTCTTCTTATTGACATTCTTATTGTTGCAAAATTTAATTTATCTCATGTGGCTTTGCGCTCGTTGCTGCACGTGGGATTTAAATAGAAAAACTGTCTTGGGTTTTTTCATTCCAAGGATGTAAAATGCTTATTCATACTACTTTATCTGTAATTGATGTGCTCAAAAATTACAAAATAGGCCATTGCACTTACCTTGATACTAAAACAGGGTTGAGAGAAAAACAAGAAAAAAAGCGCCCCGTATCCTTTCTTCTTCCTTCCATCTCCACATGCCCCTTATTTTCTAAAAGTATCTGTTTGAGAGATAAATGACCGCTCTGCTGCCGAGGATGACAGCCTACACAAAGATGATATTGAATTGATTTCAGAAATGTTGCAGAACTGACTGTTTGATGTATACTGCTAGACATGAATCATAAAAATTCTATTAAAAAACCCTTGAATGGCTGACACCAGAATATTATTTGTGATGATTAATTTGACTCAGTCATTACAATGGGAGTCAAGTTGGATCGTCTCAGACAAAATTGCTTTTCATTCCCCGTTGAATTTCCCTGCTATTTTTCTTTTCTTCTTGCTCTGTGCAGAACCCTGATCTGATTGGACTTACTGTGTTAGAGAGACAGCACGCGAATAGAGACTGTTGGTCTGCTATATTACTGATCGCTGAGCATTGTTTTGTTTTTTTGTTCCAAAATGAGTCGTTTAACATTTGAAGGAAAATTATACCTAATGTAGTAAAATGACAGATCAGAAGAGCCTTTGTGGAATTTCTAGCTTGACAAAATAAAATAACACAATAAAGTTAATGCTTGTAATCATAATGTTTAGCATATGCAAGTACACACACACACACATATATATATTCTTTTCATGTAACTTCTGGAAAAAATGTCCTTCTGTTTGTTGGAAATGAATGCAATCTACTCAAAAACAGAATTTTTTTCTTTAGTTCCCTGTTTGGGAACCATTAGATTTATTTGTAAATTTTGCAATAGTATGATTTTCTCTAATATGTGAGTAGAGAATTGTAGTTGACTTGCCCATAACCTGTAGTTGCAGAGACACGTATGTCCAACCTTGCATAGAGCAATTTATCTTGCAACGCACCTGCTTTGTGACATTAATGATTTAGCTGCGAGTTTACATTTATGGAAGTGTTTGCTGGGCGGGGCATTCACCACTCCTGACAGCTCAAGTAGCCATTTCCACTTTGCATTGTCTACTGTAGAAAAACTATAAAACACTGTATATTTCTACATTTGCAGCCTGTGTGTAATAGTCACAGGAATTTAAATTGGATTGATTTTCAGTTTCTGCTTAATGAAAACAGTGTATTTCACTTTATTTCTTTTTCTGTCTGTCCCACCACAGAGCTACACAGGTCAGACAGGTGGCAGTGGGGGAGGAGGAGGAGGTGGCGGCACTTCAAGTGGAAATGGAGCCGGGGACGAAGACTATGAGATCCCACCTATCACTCCACCTAACCACCCCGAACCTCCTCTTCTTCACCTGATGGAGCACGAGTCTACAGGCTACCTCGGTCACTCGTTGTCACACAATGGGCTCATCAACCCGTATTCCTACCCAGAGCTGCCCACACTTATGATGTCGAACATGCTGGGACAGGACAGCCACCTCGTATCCAGCCAAATGCCCTCGGTGAGTAGCGCACATTTAATCAGAGTAAGAAAAATATTTAATACTTGGGAGTGATGAGTGTTGGTCTTAATGTTAAACTTAACTTGTTCTGGCTCATGCCTAAAAGAAGAAATGCAAATTATGAAGCAAGCAATGTCAACACATAGGATGACATGATGATGGAGCAAACTTTTTTTGTAATTTTAAAGCATTTTGTGTATTTTAAGCATGAAAAATAATTTCAATATCTTAGCCTTGTACCAAGGGAAAATGTCGTTTTCAAGGCACAGTAAATGGGGCTAAGTAGGGAACTGAATGATTGTTCAGCAGTTGCCATGTCAGCTCTAATGCATGGAGAAAAGGATTGTGGGTAAATCCATCAGCATCATATCTGCCTCGACAGCAGGCATCGGTCAATCTGTCAGGCCTTCAAACATGAATACGTGCTGATTACTCCCTCAGCTCCACACAGAACTGCTCCTCTACAAATTAGCATCTCCAAACCATAATTGCATTCATGAGAACTGTTGGAAATAGAGCAGGTTACTATCACAACAAATGAGCTCTGCAAAGCTTATGCATCAAACATATGAGTAGACTGCATTAAGCAAATAATCTGTTTAGCAGTTTAGCAGTATACCATGCACAGTGCCCTAAATGTGTAATATAGCTTGAATTTGAAACTTTGAAGTTCAAATTAATGTATATATTAATAAAGATAAAAATGTCCCGTATATATGGAAAAGATGGCTGATGTTTTGATTGTAGGTCCCAAAGAAAGAACAGAAATGGTTAATAGTGTTAACGTACGATTTTTTTGTGTGACAGACGATGACTGGAAAGCCAGTAACTTTAAACATTCATAGCTTTATTGATACTGACTTGTATTATAAAACAATGCAGAAATAGTAACGCATACAGCTGTGCTGTTCTAGAAAAGGAGATGTTTTCTTCTTGTTCATTCACGGTATCATCAAGTACAAACATCAGCAGTGTGTTTTGTCTCTGGCCATGTCTCAGTATCTTTTAGTTATTCTACACAATAAAGATATATGTTATACATATGAATATCAAGGTCAGGCATATTGTGTAACGTTCGTGATAAACAGAAGACAAGCAGCAATCAAAATATTTCCCAGTAAAGATCTAAACATTCTTTGCATTATATATACTTTAATGCTGGAATACTCCCACAAGGTATTGGATTCATATGTCATTTATCTTCATATTCATTTCACATTTTGGTCATGACCTTTACTGCGGAGACATTGGTTGATTGGCCAGTCTTTCCCTCTGCAGTCAGGATATTTGTTACTGCTACAGAGGGCCACACTCTGTGGTTTTAATAGATTGAATACAGCAGGCTGGGTGATAAAAATGCATGAGATTTTAAATGTTCAACTCACACATGATGAACTTGTGTTTAAAGCACATGTAATGCAGCTCCTGGTAACCGCTAGGGAATGTGATAGCACTGGTAGATAAAATGATGCTTTTGGTTTTGAAAACAGAGATGAGAATTTTTTTTCAGCACATTTTGTAAATGTTCTATGTTGCATGAATTTAATTCAAATTTTGTGTGCTTTAACACATAAGCACACTAATCAGGAAACAGGTTAAGAGATATTACACCACAGTTAAAATGATCTGTGATCTTTTGCATTTTGCAAGTAAACTCCCAAATCTTGCTACTTCTGACTTTTTATAAAAGAGCTCTTGAATACATTTGGGGATCTTTTCAGAGCTCTGCTTCAACTTCACTTCAAAAAAGCAGCATATAAAGTGAACTCTGAATTTTTTTAATCAAATAGTCAGGCTGGCAAAACTACCAAACCGTAGCAGAGGTTCATTTGTGCTGAGAACGGAGTGTCTATTAAATTGGTGCCTCACCTTGACACAGTCTGTTGAGCAGAGTAATTAAGCAAACTCTGCAGTTCAAACATGAGTTGCTATCATTATGAATATCTCACTTGACATGGGTAGATAAATAATACAGGTTCATTCGAATTTTAATCTATTTTTGGTAGCTAAAAAACACAATGTACAGTGCAGCTGTGTCTGCTCGCATTGAACAACGTGTGTGTGTCCAAGTGTGTCTGTGCGTTTTTGTGTCTTTACTATAAACAATATATCTGCTGTTGAAATGGATCCACTACATCTGGAGGTCAGGCCTTATATTCAATCTTGAGCACATTGAAAAAAAAATCCATTAGGGTTCATCTTTCCTGCATCAGCCATTCTATTGTGGTGCTGCAGTGAGATCTGTTTTCATCAGGCAGATTCAATACGTGAGCTGGGCAATGAAAAGAGTGCAATAGAGTTGAATGAAGAAAGGAGGGGTGAGGATAGAGTGAGAGAGAGAGAGATGGAGAGAGGGAGAAAGAGAGAGCAGGGCATTGTGGGGAGGAACGCTAGAAGAAAAAAGTAACTCTTATTCAAAATGAGCGTATACGTCCAGTTTTTGTACCTCCTGGATTTCATTATTAGATATTTTAAAGATAATTCAGTTGAGTGAAATGGGGTTATTCTGTCTCAACAAAAGGCTGAGAGCCTCTGGTTTTTAAATTTGTGCCTGTGTGATTCAAGTATGAGGACATTTGAAAGTACTCCAATGCAGGTGCAACAATATAAACATGAAATAAATAGGGCAATTATATAACAAAAAGGATTTAGACTCAAGCAGCATCGCAGCAACAGATGATCATAGCTGTTGAAGAGAACAGAGAGGGTGTGTTTTGTTTGTTGTGAAAGGGTGAACTGCGGGGCTAAAGAGTGTTTAAATCAGGCAGATTTAACTGTGGCCATGGATCTTAAAAATTTATAAAACATGATTGATTGCACATATGCCAAAGCATGAATAATACAGAACAAGACTGAAGGTTTATTGCATTTTCTTTATTGACAATAAATTGCATTAAAATACACAAATTAAGGGTGTGTGTATCTAACGCTTGGTGCTTTTGGGATTTCATTTTTCTTTCCTCCTGTTAAAGATGTAAATCTTTGAAAATATGTAACAAACGTCAAGCTTAATTTATTTGGAAAGTACATTTATGAAACAGCTGGGCACTGTAGTCTTTAGTAAATATCAAAACATGACAAAATAGTTGATTTAGAGGTTAATTTGTTGGACAAGCAGCCAGTTAATACGCATTTGCCTGCTAGAGATTACTTGTGATTACTTTAAAAAAAAAACTTTCTCAGTTATTCCCATTATTTTTATTAATTTATTCATTTTAGCATTTTTGGCTGGCTTGGTGGAAGCGTGTTACGTTTTGGGGCCCAGAACTGACCATAAATGGATGAGACCAGTGAGTACTAAGCTATCAGCTAACATTAGCAAGGTAGTTATTAAGCTAGCTCTAGCATGCAGACCAGAGCTAGGTGGTCTGTGTGCAAACATTAAAACATTCAAATGAGCACAGATTCTTGGATGGGCTGTATGGGCAGTGTTCAAAGCTAGCTGTCAATCAGGGCGGACACACCCCGACTTTTGATCTATGTCAGTATCCAAAGAAATAAGGTATAAAGCAACTTTCTTTTTTTTAATTTAACAGGCTGTAAACATGGTTTTAAATGCAGTTAAGTGGTCATTAGAGGAACTTAAATCTTTGTCAGTTCAGAGTTTTTCCATCTCCAGAGGTTAAAAGACTGCAAATACAAAGAATATGTTAGTGTGCTCATAACCTTAGAGTTTGCCTATGCAGACAGCATTTAGTTGATTGATCACTCACTTCTAATCTCTGTAGTAATTTGATAAAAGTAACAAGGGTATTTATTCATTTTCTCCACTTTGCTGCCTCTCAAAACCCTCTAAAGCAAAACTGATTGCACTTTCCTGATTTTGTAAGGAGGCCATTTTCAATTCAGATTTTTTTCTTTTTCTTTCCTTTCTCTTTTGGATGATGGTTATTGTGTCTGAAGCTCCTCCTGGTCAAACCTGATATCTTTCAAAGAGCTCTTTTCTCAATGTTTTGATGCACTTGGCAGCCCCCCCATTCCCTCCCAGCCCCCCACCTCACCACTTTCCCTCGTTCTCTCTCCCCTCTCTCCCTGTCTCTGGTGCTCTCTCTGTTAATGCCCCCACTGCCATAGCATCTACAAGTTCCAAAACACATTAGACATTTAATAGCCTTGCTCAGGTTGCATTGATTCTATCAATACAGCCCAGAATGATACACATCTCTGTTGCTGCTGATTTCTGGCCTCATTGTTTTCTGTTACATCTCTCTTTACACTAAACTATACATATATTTTATATCCACCTTTTGCCTGTGCTGTGACCACTGCATCTGCAATATGTTTAAACAGGACAGCTTCATATTCAATTATGATATATTTATAATGGTCCCCAGTTGCCAGCAACTGGAATAAATTATCCTTTTTTTCATGTTCCTCAATTGTGCATGCAGTATTAGCCATCATCAAACTGGCTCAAGTGTGATGTTTTGAATATGTAACAGATGATGAATGTATAATCAGCCAGGAGATGTTATGCATAACAGCTAAGTATTAGCTGAGAGATCTATATGCACGAGCAGCCTTAGTTTCATCAAACATCCAGGTATTATCTCCCCCCCTTTTTTTTCTTTTCTCAGAATACACAATGTGAATCTGCTTGAATGAGGGTCAGTTTGTTTGTAATGAGGGCTGTGGCACTCTAAAGATCTGCCTGCTACATTCATATTCAAATTCCATCCTCTAATTTCTTTTGTTACAAAATTTCAATGTAAGATTTTCCTCACAAGCTCTTTATCTTCATTTGTTGAGGTTAATTATCAAGTATTAATCCCATCTTGATTGTCACGTTAAGTTGGTTGGAAGCTTGCTCTTTTTCTTTCTTTATTTTTTCTTACGAGGTATTAAGTGCTCCTGGCAGGTGCTCGCGCTCCAAGCCTGCGTGAAAGAAATATGAGCTGCAATGTCAACTGAACTTGTCACAGACAAGCTGGGATGAATTAATGATAAGAGAGCAGAGGTGTGTTTTAATGTTTTCTCTCTCTGATGGAGGGTCTCAGCAA